ATGTGCATGAACCAGCACCGTTTTGCTCTTTGCATACTGCATTTGAACCACAAGGTGATGGTTGGCATGGATTGAAATATTCTTGAGGAACTGGTTCAGCAAGTTGTATTTTGCATTGTATTATTGGATTTCCCGTATAACCAGATAAACAATAACATTTTGGGGCATGACTTATAACTTTGCATTCTGCATTCTGACCACATGATCCTGGACATGGATCTCGGCATTTCATATTTATACATGCTAAGTGATACGGACATTCACTATTGATTATACATTCTGGTTTACAATTTGGAGGAGTTCCGATAAATTGAGGTAAACAAGAGCATGATGGTTGACCTCCAATGTTTTGACATTGGGCATTAAATCCACATGGTGATGGTACGCAAGGGTTTTCAATTACTTCTTCTACTGGGGCCGCTTCTAAATATATATAATTATTTATAATAATGAATAATAGAATATTCTTTTCAGTTTATTATTATTCTTACGAATTGGATGGCAGTGGACAAAAGCGTTTCCTGTATATCCTGATGGACAATTGCATATTGGGTTATGGTTAGTCACATGACATTTAGCTCCTATTCCACATGTTCCGGGACACGGATCTTTACATTTTTGATTACTGCAAGCTTCATCTTGATTACAATCAGAATTAGTAGTACATTCTGGTCTGCATAGAGGAGGTGACCCAATGTAATTCGATATACATGAACATACAGCATGATTATTAATTTCTCTACATTGACTATTAGATCCACAAGGTGAAGGGATACATGGATAAACTTGAGCTTGAACTACATAGAAAAATATTTAATTAATTATTGTAATTACATAATATTATTGGTATATTACCTTCAACTGGTTTGCATTGAATGAAAGCATTGCCTTGCATTTTTTCTGGGCAACGACACATTGGTATATGATTATAAACATCACAAATAGCATTTTGTCCACAAATTCCAGGACAAGGGTCTATACATTTATTTTTTATACACGCTTCATTTTGAGGACAGTCATTATTTATAACACATTCAGGTCTACATCCCATATAAGGATTTCCTTGATATTCTAATAAACAAGTACATACACCATTATTGCATTCTGCATTATAACCACAAGGTGACGGATTACACGGATCACTGTTTACCACTGGAATATCTAAAATATTTTATCAAAAATTGTATTTCAATGTTTTATAGATATCTTGAATTTAAATTTAAAAACAACTACTTACTTTCCTGTGGTTTAGGATAACAATTAGTAAATGGATCACCAACCATACCATATAGACAAACGCACATAGGAGTATGATTTAAGACGTTACATTCAGCATTGTAACCACATGATCCTGGACACGGATCTCTACAATGTTCATTTATACATGCTTTATTAGATGGGCATTCTGAGTTCATAACACATTCTGGTCTACAATTTGGTGGGCTTCCGGTGTATTGAGAAAGACAACTGCATGATGGAACTCCTTGGTTATCATGGCATTGTGAATATGGACCACAAGGTGATGGTATGCATGGGTTAACATATTCAGTAGGCAAATATTGAGGCAATGGTACTAAAAATATATATAATTTAAATATAATGATATGGAAATGAATATGAAGTAATAATTACATGGTATTGGGAAACAATGAGTGAATGGGTCTCCAGTGAATTTAGGCCGACAAGTACAAATTGGACTATGATTAATGACTTTGCAATCAGCATTTTTTCCACAAATATTAGTGCAAGGGTCAGAACATTTTTGGTTTATACATGCTTCATAATTTTTACATTCCGAACTCATTACACATTCTGGTCTACACCCTGGGGGACTTCCAATGAATGTAGGTAAACATGAACATATTGCTTGGTTGTTGATCGATTTACATTGACTATTTGGTCCACAGGGTGACGGGTAACATGGGTTTATCAGTTCTACTGATGCATCTAAAAGGAAATAAAAAGAATTCACAATATAATTTTAATAAATAACTTTCAATTCAATTTATAATTTTGTTTAACTTATTTAAGTTTATAAGAAACACTTTTTTTTTAAATATGTAACTTGGACTAAAAAATAAATACCTTGTGGTGGTACAATAACTGAACAATATTTGAACGGATCACCATTATAACCATTTAAACAAGTACAGACTGGTAAATGGTTAACGACATGACATTCTGCATTTTGACCACATGTTCCTGGACATGGATCTCTACACTTATTCATCAAGCAGGCTTTATTGGAAACGCAATCAGAATTAACTGTGCATTCTGGTCTACAACTTTCATATGGATTGCCTATATATTCTGGTAAACAAGAACATGATCCGGCTCCATTTTGTTCTTTACATATTGCATTCACACCACATGGTGATGGTACGCATGGATTAATATATTCTTGAGGTATGGGATCTGCTATATATTGAATTATAATTAATACAATAAACTTAGATAAATAGCTGTGAAAATTATTATATGATATTATACCTTGTTGAACTGAACAGAATGTAAATGGATTTCCAACATAACCTTGTTGACAATGACAAGTAGGAGCGTGACTTATAACTTGACATATAGCATTAACTGCACATGATCCCGGACAAGGATCTTTACATTTCATATTCATACATGCTTTGTTATAGGGACATTCACTATTAGTGATACATTCTGGTTTRCAATGTGGAGGAGATCCGATAAACTCAGGCAAACAAGAACAAGAAGGCGTATCTCCTTTTACTTGACATTGTGAATTAGGTCCACATGGTGTTGGGACACATGGATTGCCCACTATTAATGGTATATCTGCAGCTAAATTAAAAATTGTAAATTGGTTGTTTATTGAAAGAAAATAAGTTGAAACATAGTTAAATAAATTAAATGATTATAATACAAAGTACTATTTATAATAAAGTTATCTGATATAATTTATGTTATACATTTTATACTTACGAATTTGGTAGCAATTCATAAATGCATTTCCAGTATATCCTGTTGGACAGCTACATATAGGATTGTGGCTTATAACTTGGCATTTAGCATTTATACCACAAGTTCCTGGACATGGGTCTACACATTTTTGATTAGAACATGCTTGATTTTGTCGACAGTCTGAACTTGAAATACATTCGGGACGGCATAATGGTGGTAATCCAGTATATCCCATTACACACGAACAAACTGCTTGTTTATTTACTTCCCTACATTGACTAAATGGTCCACAAGGGGATGGTTTACATGGCTCATATACCTCAGGTTCTAAATAAAAAAAAAATATTTATTGTTTAGTGAAAATAATTATTGAATAGTTAACAAATACCATTTTGCTGTTGACTGCAAAAAACAAAAGCATTGCCTTGCATTCCTTCTGGGCAACGACACATTGGTATATGATTATAAACATCACATATAGCATTTTGTCCACAAATTCCAGGACAAGGATCTATACATTTATTTTTTAAACATGCTTTGTTTCGAGAACAATCATTATTTAGTACACATTCAGGTCTACATCCAGTGTATGGATCTCCTTGGAATTCACTTAAGCATGTGCATACACCATTATTACATTGAGAATTTGGGCCACAAGGTGATGGATTACATGGATCTGAGTAGACTGGAGCTTGAATCACTAATAAAAACAGCATATAAAACACTATTTATCCATAATATTTTAATATGATTAAATACCTGGCTTTATATCACATTGCGTAAATGGATTTCCTTCATATCCCTCTGGACAAGTACACATAGGTGTATGGTTAATTACATTACACTGAGCACCCCAGCCACATGATCCTGGACATGGATCTTGGCATTTTTCTCTGATGCAAGCTTCATTACTAGGACATTCAGAATGCATAATGCATTCTGGTCTACAGTTTGGTGGTGATCCAATATATTGAGCCAAGCACGAACATGACGGATTACCTCCATTGTCTTGACATATAGCATAGGCTCCACATGGTGATGGTATGCATGGGTTTATATTATAAACAGGCTCATTTTGTGGTGGTGGTGGAGGTATAACATGACAATGTGAAAATGGATCTCCAGTATACCCAGGAGTGCATGAACACACTGGACTATGGTTGAACACCCTGCAGCTGGCATTTTGTGCACAACGATTTTCACATGGGTTTTTACATTTTTGATTAATACAAGCGAGACTTGATGAACATTCTGAGTTCAGTACACATTCTGGGCGACATCCAGGCGGGCTCCCTATATACGTCGGAAGGCATGAGCAAACAGCTTGATGGTTAATTTCTCGACATTGACTATTTGGTCCACAAGGAGATGGTGTACATGGATAAATAGGCTGTACTTCAGTTTCTATATAAAAAAAAATACATATAATAATAATTGTATATTTTTACAATAAATTGATTTCTATTAAAGTATAATTACGTTGTGGTGGTATGACATGACAGTATCGGAATGGATCTCCAGTATATCCATTGTAACATGTACATGTCGGTGAATGATTAATGACTTGACATTCAGCATTTTGAGCACATGTTCCAGGACATGGATCTTTACATTTATTACTAATGCATGCTTTGTTAGATTGGCACTCAGCATTTACAATACATTCAGGCTTACATCCTTCATATGGATTTCCAAAGTATTCAGGTAGACAAGAACAAGATCCAGCTCCGTTTTGTTCTTTACAAATGGCATTTATGCCACACGGAGACGGCTCACAAGGATTTAAATACTCTTGTGGGATAGGATCAGCTAAAAATTATTGATCATGTATTCAATACATGTACTACTAAAAAATAAATACAATATGAACTTAATTTACCTTGAATTGTTGTACATTCGGTATACGGGTTTCCAATATATCCAACAGGGCATGTGCATCTTGGGATATGACTTATTACTCTACATTCAGCACTTGGGGCACACGCTCCAATGCAAGGATTCTTACATTTCATATTTATGCAGGATAAGTGAATTGGACATTCACTATTGCTTACACATTCAGGTTTACAATTAGGAGGTGAACCAATAAATTCAGATAAACAAGAGCATGATGGGGATTCACCTTGTACTTTACATTGAGAATTTGGTCCACAAGGCGATGGAATACATGGATTTCCAACAGGTTGAGGGATATCAGCAGCTAAAATAAATTAAAATAATTTTAATAGTTATCTCAT